ATTTGAAACAGTGGTAACAATGACACTGTATGATGCAATTTGGTCAGGTAACAATGGCTGACCTTTATGCTGAGTGATTGTGAGGTAGCCCGAGGGGTTGATACTGTACTGAGAGTGAGCCCGAAGGGCTGATACTATGCTGAGCGATTGATACTGTGCCTGAGGGGCAGATTTCTACTTGTTAATTACCTGTTTTACTTGTTTTAAAAAGGAATATCATTTGATTTCTTCACTGATTTACTGCTTTACGTGATTTTACTGCTTGATATAGAATTACCTTGTGCCTTTACGTGTTTTCATACTTTCAGCCATTATTTGTAATTATTACTCATTGAGTCGGAGTACTCACATTACTCCCTGCACCGTTTGTGCAGATTCGGGTATAGTAGAGTCCGCACCTGAGCGCTGATTCCTTCTAGGCTAGGCAGTGATTTGGAGTTACGAGGTAGTTGTTGACGTCCGCATCCCCTTGTCTCTCTTATCCTCTATCATTTATGTTTTCTTCAGACTGTTGTATCGGATTTCGTACTTTGTAGACCTATAGCAGATTCTGTAGTAGCTCATGACTTGTGACACCCTGGTTTGGGCTGTGTCGGGATGGCTCCTGCTGTTATTATCATAAAATTCGCAATTTATGAGTATTATATTATATGTTATTACTGTTATGATGATTAACTATCTAAAAAAGGTATTTCGTTTTGGTTTGGCTGGCCTTGTCTTCACGAGAGGCGCCATCACGACCGGGTTTGGGGATTGGGTCGTGACAACAAGCTTCATGCCTTTTCACGAAAAATACATTATTTTTCTTTAGTCATCATTATATCATCAATATGGTGCATAGGATACAAACCTAATGTCTTACTTATATAATGGCATGTTAGGTTAGATATGATGAGATTCGAGCCCAATTCTTATCATTATGGTGCACCAGGACTCAAACATGATGCCTTACCCTCATGGTGCATTGGGACTTGAACCTATTGTCTTACCCTCAACCAATGCCATAATAAATCAAAATATACGTAGATGCACCCTCAAGCCTTTAAAAATATTATCATTTTATGACTACTCATAAAAGAAGTGATATCATTTTGTGAAATACTCATAAAACCAAGTGATATTACTAGAGTCATCTGATGTAAAATGTTCACGTCTAAATTTTTCAAACAAAATTAATATAACAGGCATGTGCAGATCAAGTATAGTTTAGTATTTTGAATAAAATGTGAAGTGAGATTAACTTACTTTCTTTATCTAAATTAGATCTCTTGATCTGATGCAAACCTATTTCCATTAAAAATGAAATGCTGATAAATGCAACCAAAACCAAATGTTATCTTCATTTTGTGGCTATTAGCTGACTCGAAGATTTCAGGTTTTGTCCATATTTCTTCACAAGCAGTAAAAAGATTAGTCCACGTGAATAAATAACATAATTGGAAGATAAAAATATATATGCAAGAAGAAGGAAGTATATAACAAATTGCATTCAAATCAAGAAGTCAAGTAATTTTATCTTGACTAAAATATTAGAACAGTTGAAGAAAATCTCTAACTGTTAATTTTAAACAATTCACAAAGTGAATTTCATTCAACACTAATCATCACACTGTGTTACGTCAACTAAACATGATAGAATGCTTGGTAATTGGAGTTAACTCTTATCAGTTAACTTGTCCTTCTAAGTTCTATATTAACAAAATCCTTGAAGTGATGAGTTTTACAATGCAATAGAGTGTTGAAGTTCTAGTTTACGGTTCTGAGGTGCTACTAATGTAAATGGGAGGTCTGGAAAGACTTAGATATTGCAAGTGTGCAAACTTTATGTCTATATTTTTCATTTTACATTTATGATCAGTTTAACTAATTAAGACAAGGAAATATTAGTAGATGAAGAAGCAAATGATGAATGACAAAGATTACAAGAAAGATCTTTAGTTGCCTTACAGTATGTTAAAGAATACCACTCCTCTGGCTAGCTACTCTTTGATTTACCTTTCTCCACATGCTTAAATCTTTTTAAAGTGCTCAAGAGAGAGTATCGTGCTGATAACGTGTTATGAAATAAAAGCAATATATCAAAATCTGAACGAGAAAGAGATAGAAAGAAGGAGCTTATTTCTTCTTCAATTATATCAATTAAACAAACATTTACAAGGCCTATTTATAGGCATAGATGATATATGTTTTGTGGTGGAAATTGAGTAGACAGAGAGATGGGCATCCACAGTGTAAGGATGAGATATATTGATCCATACACTACAACATAGAGTAGTATATACTGAGTTTATCAGTGGCGGATCCACATGCAGATAAATATTGGGTGAGCACCCATAACTAAACTCTATTTTCCTCTTCTTTCCGAATTTTCATCAGTGAACACCCATGACTTTAAAATCCTAGATCCACCACTAGAGTTTATACCTAACATGTACTCTAGGAGAGCAGTGAATTCGCTTGTCACCAGAACCAAAAAATTTATAGTGATCTGTACAACTTGGTTGAGGGTACTAGTAGGAATTCTTTTAGAGTAATAAATAAGGAGTAGTACAAATGACTGCATATTTGTGCTGATATAAGAAATGCATCATATCAAAATTTAGAGGCCAAATATGTCAGCCAACAACTGTCAATAGGCAGTAATTGGGGCTACCTGATTTTGATACAGAATGCATTCTTATTCAAGTACCTTGCATTAGACAAAGATTTAGCTGGCACCACTTGGCTTTTAAACTTTCCAACCTCAATTTGAAAATCCCATCTAATAGAAACACAAACAGCCGCGGCTCTGCATGTCTTAATTTTTTTTTCGTTTTCGAGAATATTTACATAGTCATTTTTACCTTGACCTGCAAAGCTATTTCAACTCTAGAGACATAAATCATGAGTGAGAGATTCATTTTCACTTGTTTTTATAATAACATAATATTGAAAATAAAAATAAAAAAGTAGAAGTTATTTTTGAATTAGTTCTTATTTCTTTTCCATCACACCCTCTGCGCTAATCTGGAAGGATTAATATACCGTACTGGTTCGTCACTTACTTTTAATGAGTATTAGTTCTCTACACTTGCGGTGAAAAAAATTACACAATTAAATCATTTAAAAGATAAATGCAGATAACTTTATTGTATTGTATAATATTGACTGGTAACCTAAAATAATGATAAATTAAATAGCATGTTATAAAAATTTAATTATACTATAAGTATATATAACTTAAATTCATATTTAATCAAGGTACAAATTTTAATTACTCATAATATATGATTAAAGAAGTAGAAATGAATTGGAAGCGAAATGCTGGGGCAGGAGCCAGGTTGACTCCTGCTGGGTACAGGCGTGTCTTCCACGAGTTCACACCGCCCCCTGTACAAACAACTAACACTAAGCCCTTGGCGTTTTATTTAGGACAACATGTGTCCAGCTTATTCGCTTAAACCGCTAAACTCTCATTTCCCAAATTGTAACTTGTACTGCTTCCCTCTTTATGTATAGCTTTCCCTCTCCCTCTACCAAACATAACCCATTCTAAAAGCACTTTAATCATAAAGACCATAAGAACAAAAAGCGAAGCTCTTTCTCTTTTTTTGGCTCCCACTGCCATCTTCTTTCATTTCAATTGTTGCTATCTACTTACTACTTTTACACTAACCATGCAAGAAAAAACAAGAATGCAGAAGAAGAGATCTGTGGTTGGTCGTAGAGCTTGGAACATTCTTCGCGTGGCCTTGTTATGGGCAAGAAAAGGTGGCATTTTCAAGAACAGACACCTTATGGCCGATCTCCGTTTGCTGCCCAAATATATTAAAAGTCTCCGACATAGCAACGACTATGGGTACGGTAGTGCATTACATTATGGGGAGCGTGAGTTTTCCTTTGATGACACCCCTATCATTCATGTTAAGATGCATCGCCCTACTTCCTTGCGTTTCAAGATGCCTAACATACCCTGCATCAAACCTCAAGTCGATTTTGACTTTGACTTTGACTTTGAAAATGATCGTGATCGTGAAGAACATGAAATGTTCAATGGTAATGATGATGATGTTCCTAGGAAATGTTTCTTGAAATGTGTGGACGATGATAATGAAGAGGACTCATATGCAAGCTGCGAGGTATCTGAGGAGATTAGTTGTCCCGGTGATGAAGCTATTGATGTGAAGGCTGAGGAATTTATTGCAAAGTTCTATGAACAAATAAAGTTGCAAAGACAAATATCATATTTACAATACCATGAGACGACGCTCGCTAACTAAAGGTGCAAATTGACAGAGATCAACTTGCAGGCGCTTTCCACTCTTCAGCACTCACCAATTTTCTTTCATTCTTTTTTATGTCATATTCTTGTTTCAATTTCATACTAGTAGTGTTCTTTCGGTATAGGATGCATTGCGGATTATTTGTATATAGAAGAGGTATTCAGTATTCTACTCCTTACTGCAAAATGAGAGCTCAAAATCTTTTTTGTCCAAAATAATTTTGCATCAAATTGTCCATCTCTTGAACCGGTAAAACAAATGTTGACGAGAAATAAAGGAATGAGTTTAGATTTTTCTTATAAGAATATAAGTTTCATCAGAAATAAATTTGGCTACTTAGAACTAAATTACAATCCAGGCACCCGCCAATCTCGATCCATGACCAATTTAACTCGATGGTCTTGTTTCAGTGGATATTTTTCGTACTCCTAGTAGTTTATTATTTCAGTAGTAAATTCATGCGTGAATGAACTTTGTACTTTGAAAGTTCAAACTTTTTGCTTCTGTTCAATAAAACGGAGATGAGTTCCAGATTCAGGGAATAACCTGGCTGTAATTTGTTAGAAGAAACACCTAAAGAGGGATTTTTTTTTGCCTTACTAGGGCTTCAATTTTATCCTTCAGAAGAAATGTATATGTTTCACATTATGTTAATCTGCAGGCAGTAGTGCAATTTATCTACATGATGTATCCCTGGGATCATATTCAAAAGAAAAATATTTCTACCTTTTTATGGAACATATTAGGTTTACATTTCGACTCTAAAATAGAAATAAATTAAATTCACACACTTGTAAAAATCTCTACGCTCAATATGTGCCAATTTTTGGTTATGCATTTAATTATTTCTAGACTAGTATGGGTATAAGGTTTTAGATGAATCCAAGATGGCTAAGCTGACAAAATGAGGAAACAATTCAAGAACCAGCTGCTGCAAGCTACCCAATGGGCGCCTACAATTCAAATTAAGGAATGGATTTTTACGTACCTACACACTATTGAAAACTTTATTACCCTCCCTACCCAAGTTTTAATTTAATTACCTTTTATATACAAATTTATCAATTATATACACTTTAGGAATTAAATGAGTATCCCTTTATATTAGGAATTAATTATTTCTTATCCTTATTTTCTCTCTCTCTCTCTCTCTCTCTCCCCTACGCACGCGCTCTCTCTCTCTCTCTCTCTCTACGTTCCTCTCTATCTCTCAATCCATAATCTCAGTAATGTAGAGCAAAGGAAAAGAGAACAACAATTCCATCATTGACAGCCATTAAAAAGCTTTGAAGCTTTGAATTCGAATTTGAGTTTTCAAAAAATATTATTTGTTTAAATTGGGTGTTGTTGCAAACAATTGGGAATTCTCTCTACGTATCTCTCTATCTCTTAATCCCTAATTCCCGTAATGTAAAGCAAAGAAAAAGAGAGCAGCAATTCTACCATTGACATACATTAAAAATCTTTGAAGCTTTGAATTCGAATTTGGGTTTTCAAAAACTATTATTTGTTTGGATTGGGTGTTGTTGCAAACAATTGGGAATATAGTTTGGAGTTTATATCTCAATTTTGAGGGTGTTTTGGTGAAGATTAGACTTGCTTTTTGGCTGAGTTTTCAGATTGAAACTCGAATAAGAAGAAGACATGACATACATTATACTGTAGAAATTGTAGTAAAGTTGTAGTAAAATTGTATTCTGTTGTTTATATATATATATATTATTTAAATATTGTATGAAAGTTGAACAATATTATATACAAATTATATTTAAGTTGTATGATATTTTTGGTATATATAACTGGGTAGAAATAATGTATGAAAATTGTAGATAAGTTGTATAATATATAATTAGTTGTATGAAATTTGTTTTTACTATGTATAAATCAGATACAAAATATATTATATAAAATTTGTATAAAAATTGTATTTAAATGGTATGATATTGTAGTTGTATTTAACTAGGTAGAAATAATATATGAAAATTGTAGATAAATTGTAAATAAGTTGTATAATATATAATTACTATGTATAAATCAAATATAAAATATACAAAAGACATATTGTATAAAATTTATATAAAAATTATATTTAAGTTGTATTTAAGACAATGTTGCAATTTGACAAATGCCAATAATGTTTTAAAAGATTGAATTTCAAAATTCCATCAAACTTCTTTTTTGGATGGAGTAATAAGTTGCATTTCTAAGCATCCACGGCATGGAATTCATTTCATCCATCACACTTCAAACATGGTCCAGAGCAGGCAGGTGTCACCACCATCTATTATAAAACGAATGCATTTGGCCAATAAAAAAAAATATTCAGGCATACGCACGTGAAAGGGCCGAATGCGTACAACAAAGAAAAAAATAAAAAAAAGGTTTGAGGCTTAAGGAAAAGTAGACTATTGTTATAAATATATTATATTATGGATGTTCATTTAGTACTCCATTGTAAATAATTTTTCTGAAGAAACTTATCCATATGGGACTCCACCATAAATATGTTTATCTATTTAGTACTTTATTGGAAATAAGCTTCCTGAAGAAGCTTATAACTTCGGTACCTGGTTATGGATAAATATTACCCTAAGTAGAAGATTATCCATATCGGGTATAATAAGCTTATCCATTCAGTACTCCGTTATGGATAAACATTGCTCTCAGTAGAAGATTATCCATATTTGGTATAGTAGCAGCTAACACAACAGCTTGCAGTAGCAGCTTACACCACAACTTGCCGTAGCAGCTTACACAGCAACTTGCGTAGCAGCTTACACAGCAGCTTCTAATAGCAGCTTACACAGCAGCTTGCGTAGTAGCTTACACAGCAGCTTCCTTTCTTCTATTAATAGAAGAGATTTCAGTTTATTATGTACATCAGTTTAAATTCGAATAATATATCAGTTTCTCTCTATACTTGTCTTTACTTTATAGTCTTTATTTTATAACACGTTATCAACACGAGACTCTGTCATCTCGAGCAAATATTTTGAAAGTATCTGAGGTAAGAACTTTCTTTTCCTAAATAATGTCAAATCTTTCTAAACTTGAATTTGTAGCCCTGAATATATCGGGCAAAAGCTACATGTCTTGGGTGCTTGATGCTGAAATTCATCTTGATGCGATGGGTCTGGAAGACACCATCAAAGACAAAAATCAGGCATCAAATCAAGACCGTGCCAAAGCAATGATATTCCTACGCCATCACCTTGATGAGGGCCTGAAAATGGAATATCTTACTGTTAAAGATCCAGTCATACTGTGGAATAATTTGAAAGATAGATATGACCACCTGAAGATGGACGTTCTTCCACAGGCACGATATGGTTGGACTCATCTAAGGCTACAAGATTTTAAATCTATTAGTGAGTATAATTCTGCTATGTTCAG